AGATAAAGTATGTTATATGTATATAAACGCAAGCAAAAGCTATCCATATATATATTTGAAATGTGCTACTTAAGCCCTTTCATTGATACCCTACACGGAATGATAAAATATATATTTTTTTGTATCTTAATTTATGCTCTCTGTAGGACTCTGCTACCAATTTGTTGTAACGTCACATAGCCTGTAGCACGCGGACAACTAATATCTCATTTGTCCAAATACGATGATCCTCCTTTTCGCTTCGCCGTCGTAGTTGGGTAAAAATTAACCTGAATCATAGAGTTATTAAAAATGGTACCGCTGATTGCTATCAATGTTGAAACAGTATGTCCAAGGTGGTTAAGACACGCCCACTAATTGATCGTTTGTTGCCAGATTGTAATGGTGATAAAATCTTACGAGCATAAATGAAAAGAACCATAAATTATATAAAACGTAACTTATGGAAATGATCTGCCTTCCTTGCAAGGGATCCATGGACAAATTGTCTAAATTCAAAATCTCTCTTGTAATTCCATTTAACGGTATAGGGCCTGTGATTGCGAGTTATGGATTTATATTACATTTAAATTGGCATTCGCTTTAGGGACGAATGGTGATTTGAATGTACAAAAAATATAATAATAAATCTTTACTTAAACCCGTTGAAAAATTATAGTAAGCATTCAGCGTTTCGTTTAAAATTTCTCAATAGCTTTCAAAGCTGTTTACGTCTATCGCTTATCTTAGACAATTCCAATTATTGTTAAATTAACGAAATTATTTGTTCAGTATTTATAAAAAAATCGCGGTCGCTATAACATCTCAAGTAATTGTGGTGTGAACTACGTGAATATCTTTTAAATATCAAACAGAAAGGGATTGCGAGAATTTTTCAAATTAGAAAATAAGCCCCTTGTTAAATTTTCCCATAGGTGACGTGCATTATTTTCCCTTTTCTTCCAAAAAAAAATTTTATCCAGTCTTTTTCTTTTTTTTTAATTGATGATTATCTATTTATTTCTTTATCTAGAAGAATCATAATTTTCATTAAAAATCCACTTTCATTTTAGTACGATAAAATTAAAAATTGAAAGTATCATTCACTGCATTTTGAACTATCTTATTTAAACAACTATAAAAAGGTTTTTTTTACTAAAATGAATATCAAATGAAACTAATGCTTTATTATAATTTTCCCAGCTTACAAATATTTTAATCACTGTAAACTCATTAGGGCGCTGGCAGCTACAAAATTCTGCCGCATCGTAAACGAAACAATATAGCTCGAATGTTTAATTAGCGCATTGCAGGCGGTAAGGGTGGCGGGAGGGGTGCGGGGAGGTGTTATTCATTAAAATGTTTGCGGAAACTCGTTTAGTGCCGTTGTGGTGGGCGGGCGCCGCCTTACTTAAGACTTCTAGGGCTGCAAATATCTTATTGACATGACATCTCATAAAATAAGCAGACCTCTTTAGAAATGAATTCTTTAATTTTCTTTTATCTATGTACAATAATTTAAAATAGTTTGTTCTTATTAACGACTTTCTTAACGTACTGTCTACAAAAATATAATTCTCTTTGTCATCAGGAGTTACACCTCGGGAAAGTATTAGAAACAGTTTTCACTATTGAGGATGGTATGTCACCTATGCAAAGCCAAGCCCAATCGTTAGTTTATGTATATATATACAACGACATTAAGCAAAAAGTGGCATGTCATAGTTTACATAATGATAATACCCATTAAAATACAATCATGAAACCTCATTAATAATATTAACAATAAAATAAAACTTCAAAAAGCTGTAATATTAGATACTAGTGATGTACATCTGAAAATATTGCCACTGCATGATGATAGTTTCCATTTCCTATGTGTCTGGGCACATAGTTTTCACATTAATGGGGACATTAATACTGGATTGAAAATACAGTATTAATGTCCCCATATACTCAGTAATTTTTTTGTAGTATTACATATAGATGATACATTTATTTTACTAAACTTTAGAAATGGACAAGCTTTAAACAGCAGAGTCAGTGGATATATTAGAAGAGGTTCACTGACGAATTGTATAAGTTCTTAAAACAAATTATATTGTGCGTGACATACTCTTAATTGTCCTAATTATAAGTACGCCCAATTTAAACTTTATTTTCTACGTCATACTTATATAAAATTTACAAAAGAAAGATCAAGCAGATCTGCTCAGAATTAGAAACTATGAATGAAAAAAAACACATTTATGAATACAGAATGCTACTTAATGCTCCACTAGAAGAGCTGACTTCAGTAATTATTACGTATCGTATAAATATTTACTTTTATGTTCGCCATTGGAAATTTTACTGGCAATAAACTGGAAATATTACTGGGAATTTCGACGGAAAGCTTGGCGACTTTCTGGATATTATGGTTATTATGATATTTTAATATCTACATTTATTTTTAGTTCACTGATAATCATAAAACAAATTCAAATAAAATATTAAATAATAAAAAAGAATTTTTACCCAATACATCCAGTTAATTCCCACCTTAAGAATGCTGCTGGCAAAGTTTCCAGCAAAAATTCTTAGTAATGTTTCCGGGCACGATACATCACTAGTCGGAACAGACAACCGCTTATATATGTCATAGATAAACGGCCGGTTTCTGAATTGAGAAAAGTATCAAATCCCAACTGATTAAATTCTCAATAACTAAAGGTTTTTGCATATCACAAAGCAAATTGGCCTAGTTTTATCAAACTGCTATCAACGGATCATTAAAAAAACTAAAATCAGAAACGAAAACCTGTTTATGTGACGTATTTTGAGAAGTGTTTATCTTAAAATTCTTAATTCAGAAACATTCGTAGAGCACATTCATTTGACTAAATGCCGTGAATGTGATTTGCAAAATAGAAACCAGTTAATCCGGGAATCAAAAGAGGAATAATAATAATAGTCAACATGATAACTGTGAAGGAATGTCAGTATCTAATTTGATCTATTATTATATTTTGGACAGCCCTGATATGGTTAGGCGGGCGGGGCGGTACATTCATTTGCTCCTCGTGATCGCTGCATCCGCTATCTACAGCCCACTTAGCGCCAGTCCTGTCTGCACTTATTGTGTGTGAAAGGGTATGTAAGGTAACTAGTAATACAAATCAATGAACTGTGAAACTAGTTATTTTATCACTGATTTGCAACTAGTCTTGATTTTCTTCAAAGTGGATTTTTTAACATTTTTAATTCGAAAAATTTTAGTATAGCATCATGAATGCAAAATTGATCAAATATAATAAAGCAATCAAATTTTTAGTACATTTCATAAATTATATTTTTTATTTCTCGACTTCAGTTTTAATAATACGATGCAATAATATTATTTTATATTAAAAGTGACTATATGTGAAAAAACCTTTTCAGTTCAGCAACCCGACTTAGCAATGTTATGGTAATATTTCGTTCCAGTTTACTACTTATCATGTGGTTCGGTGGATAAACAACTACGTTGGTAACGCTGCAGTCAAATTCACCTGCAGTCAAGAATAATTCTTTGAAAAATATTATTTATTTATCATTTCTTCATCGTTACTAAAGTACATGTTAAAGTAGAAAAATGAACCGAAATATCAGCATAACATAGTAAAGGTGTCGTATGCTATAGCTAAAGAGTTACGCAGATTTATTTCTGCGCATACGCAGCAACATGAACCCGCTAAACAAACGGCCTGGATTACTTGTTGTCACTTCAGCTAACCACCAAAATGCGACATTACTTTAGCCAATTAATACGCTGAGAGCAGAATTTGAGGCGTGGCCATATTTGTCGAAGTGACGTTTCTTGTCTTCTTCCGTCAGATGGCTATGGACTTCACAGAGGTGCTGCTTTCAAAGGAATCAATGGTTGGGGATAGGCGGGAATTATAACAAAGCCGAAACAATGATTTAATTTATAACAATTGGCGTCAACATATTTTTTACCAATTTCATTTACTTCAAATACTTATTTGAGTATTATGGTTAGAAAAAATAATCGTAAGTGAGATAACAGAGCAAAACCAACTCCAACGAGGATTACTATCATCATCATCTAGTTAATATAATTTGGCAGTAAATTTCAATCAGTAAAACTGATATTCTCATGGAAAATTGTTTTTGACTTTTTTTTTTTGATAAAAAGTATCCTATGTCCTTCCTCGAGGTTCACTCTATCTGTGTACTAAATAACATACAATTGATTCAGTAGTTTATGCGTGAAAACCTTTACAAATAATCATACAAAGTTACTTTCATATATTTAATATTAGTGTTGATGACCCCCGCGTATGATACTACCGTGAAAGAATTTTTAAAATTGATCTACAAGTTTTAGAGCCTATTTAATAAACAAACAATTAATTTCTTCTATAAAATATTAGTACATGTAATCATAAAACTATGAAATCTAGTCATTCATAAGAGACTTATTGATTTTATTAATTTTGTTGTCAAAATTGTTCCCGTGTCAAACAAGATTTCAAACTTAAAACTAACCATAAACTTTGCTGGATTTTATACTAAATTTATATTTATTTATTACGCCATAACATAATCTACACTTAGTAAATGGTATCGGCATAATGTCGCTCTCTATTGGCTGAATTTTCCAACCCCTGCGAGAGAGGACCAATCGGGAACCGCAATTCTGCTCCTAAGGGGTGGAGCCAGGGGGATTATGAACGATGTATTTTTGCAAATCCGTGCAGTACTGTGGAGATCGCATTTGAACGTAGTAACTCATTTGTAACCTAAAGTTTTGTATCTGGTGACAACTTTTTCGAAATATTCCTTTCTTAAAAAAGTTTTTGTTCTGTTTTTTGAAAACAATATTTTTTTAAATAATATAATGCGTAATTCTAGTATTGTTAATGCCTATCGTGAAGTGCCAGTAATAACAAATACAAAAATGAAAATAGAAGCTAATCAATAAACATTATAAGTAATAAGTACGAAACTATAATTATAAAAAAAAAAAAAACATTATCATGGCCGGACCATATTTATCGCCATTGCCAGGAGATTTGCTGACCGAATATATGTTTGGGAGACGACGTCAGAGAAGAAATAGGACAACTTTCACGCCTCAACAGTTGAGTGAACTGGAATCGCTGTTCCAAAAGACCCATTACCCAGATGTGTTCCTTAGAGAAGAAGTGGCATTGAGGATCAGTCTTTCTGAAGCAAGAGTACAAGTAAGGCTAATTTATATTTTGAATCAACTTAACAAACTTTTGGCCCCATGAAATTTCAGTTCACCTTACGAAACTTTTAGAAAAAAATGTTTTAGAAAAGTAACTGAAATAGATTCCGTAATTTGGAATATTAAGATTCATTCTTATCTATATTTTTCTAATAGAGAAATATTTGTAATATGTGAATGAGTCCTAGAAATTCGCGATCTATAATCATATTCGTTGAGCTTTTAAGTGTATTGAAATTTCTATATAAAATATTACTCGTAGAAATCAGAAAATAATTTTAGTATGTATTCCATTTTATGTAATCTATTCCATGTTACTATACTTTCCTCTCATATTTATTACTAATTCCTATATTTATATTTTTATTATCCAGTTACAATGCATTTAAGGCCAGTGTTGTTTAGTCAACGGTATTTCATGAATACGCATATTCGTTAAAATTATTTAAAATAAAAAAAAATCAAAAACGATTTTAGTAATCGTGACTCCAATAGATAAAGAAATGGCAAATGCAATTAATTAAACCTTTGAGATGACTATCAACCCAACTATAAAAAACCTAAAACTCAACGTCGAGTTAAGCATCATGGCACAGAGATTCAATAATTTGAACATCTTGTCAGTGACAGCGGTGCGCTCGGCTGTTTTTATAATAAAATAACATTACTGCTATAAGGAGCTAAATTATTTTGCAAATTATTAATATTGTAATATGGTTTTGATTTATTAACCTTCTACGTCAAAAGTTTATAATGCACATAATTTTGTTATAAAACATTATAAGCATCTATGGTGTGATGTGAACACGGAACCTGTAAAGGGTTCGAAACGTCCATAAAACTAAATACAAACGCAGTGAAACTCTTTAAAAGTTGTTTCATTTATGGATATTGCGCGTGAAAATATAACAAATCAATAAATAAACATTTATTATTATATAACCACTTCGGGCCAACAGACAGACGTGAAGAGCGGACTTTATTTTATGATATCTACAGAAAATCACATTTTATATTTATCAAGATGAAATCATAAATCGATTGGTTGATTTTAGATAATATCAGTAATTATACAAAGAATTTTTTAAATATTGAAAGCCACTCTCCCCCTCCTATTTCATATGTAATCTCAATTCTTAATTGAATAAATCGGTTTTCATTGATACGCTCAAATCAATACAATGAAATAAATAGAGCGATTTTACAATGTTCTTTTCATTTTAATTGTTTTCCCAATTAATTTTCTGAGTAAACACGATTGTTTTTAACATTTTAGCGACTGCATATCTATGAAAGTCAAAGCAGGCAAACGAAACGAATTTCCTTTACACCACGCGAATGAATATCACAGATAATATTGTTGTCCTGACGATTCGACGCGTACATATTAGTTAAAAATAATGATCAGCAGCAATTTTTATCCTGACTTAATCCCAATATTAAAAGATTTTATTTAGAAATAATAAAAAAAGATAAATCATTTAAAATAAAATACATATTGAGATATATCACATCACTAGACGCGTTAGTAAATATTTTGATCAAAATTGGACTTGATTCTTTGCGATTTATCTCAAAAGCTCGAGATTGGGGCGCTATTATTAAGCTTCCGCCCCGTTTTGAGATGGGGCTGCTGATATCTAAAGCTTTAGTCGACTTCTATGGAATAAGAATGTAATTTTTAGGGTTCCATACCCAAAGAGTAAAACGGTGATCCCATTACTAATATTTCGCAGTCTATCTGTCCGTCTGTCACGAGGTTGTATATCATGAACCGTAAAAGTTATATAGTTAAGATTTGTTGTTATTGCCGTTATAACAACAAATACAAAAAAATGAATAAAATAAGTATTTAAGGGGGCTCTCATACAACTAACGTAATTTCTTTGCTCGTTTTCGGTACGAAACTCGACGTAATTTATATAAATCTTAACTTTAACTTATGCAATACGGCCTAAGTTTTTCATTGTGCTTGCATAAAGACCATTAAATTGTATAAGATGAGTGTTATCGCGATAGATTTTGAAAGTTAGGTTTTTCATCTACCTTTATTTCCCGACGTTTCGACCAGGTTATACCCGCCGTCTTATACAATCTAATATAATGCAATTAAGGATAAGATTATTTAAATGTATTTTTTAATGTATATTCACAATTTTTTCGCGAATTATTTACTGACAGCTCATAGGCCCCATATAAATTAATCGAAATCGATTTAGTAATTTTGTTTTTATAATAAAAAAAAGAACAAAATATACTTCAATCACCAAATACCACCAAATGACTTATTCACATAACATGTTTATATCAGCAAAAAAAACAAAAGACAGGCTATTTTATTTTCATTAATTTCAAAGGAATTTCTATATTCAACGGGTACATACTCGTATATTTTATATATATAGGTATGTTCACCGATTTCTTCTTGAATTACGAAGAATTTTTTAACAAACTAGCTGTTTTTCCGCAAATCCGCCTGCGTAAATAACAGCCTATGTCCCCAGCGTACACAAGATGTAGATGTAGCTTGCCGTAGATGAAAGATTTTTTTTTAAACGGTCCAATAGTTTTTTATTTATTAGGGATGACAACAGCTTTTATACTATAGCATCAGTAACAGCTTTTATAACATATATGTTATAAGTACATTGTGTCTTATTAATATCGAAGCCACTTACGATAGTTATTCACGATCACATTCAATTGTGATCAACTACCTAATAAAAATATTTTAAACGGAGAAAATAATTCATGGAAAATGTTGATTTTACCCTTCACATTTTATATAGAGTTTATTGAGGCCGAGTTTAACTATTCAACTCATTTAGGTAATGTAAGTAAATAAAAAATCAATAATAATGTGTGGTTAAACATAGACCTGGAGGACACGAGGACAATCTTTTTTTTTTATACAACTATAATTGTTCGTGGAAAGAGTAAAATTTTTATATTGTCTGTGAATTAGAAAGCAAAAAATTGAGAGTAAATAGTCACAACAAAATTTTCTTTTGTGTTCGCCATTAAAAATAAAACGTCGTTTCAGCTAATGAAATGTCCATTAAATGTTCTTTATTATGAGATATCCCATGATTTATCATCATCAATCTCAACTAACCAGGCGGCGGCGGCGGAAATTCAGATTTCTATTCAGTTCTGTAGTAGCTCGGTGGCGTAGTGGATAAGCGCCGCGTCCCGCGATCATAGTCGTTAAGCAACTTTCGCAAGGGTCGGTCACGGGATGGGTGACCAAAAAATTATTATCTCGAGCTACTCCGTGCTTCGGAAGGCACATTAAGCCGTTGGTCCCGACTGCATTTGCAGTCGTTAATACCCTCCAATCCGCATTGGGCCAGCGTGGAGGGTCATGGCCCATCCTCCTTAACCATCCATAAGGAAGGCCTGAGCCCCTGCAGTGGGGATGTAAAAAGGGCTGGTGGTGATGTTGATACAGTTCTACCCATCCCCATCAAAACCCATCACATGGGCTCAGTGCAGATTGATGGGTGTCAACGATTGCAGAGGTAATTCAAATCAATGGCTTAACGTTTCTTCCGTAACATGAAAGAGCGCGAGAAAAAAAATTCGATCGCCAGTTCTAAAACCAGCATCGCAAAGCGAACGTACATATTTATCACGGTTTCGGTTTTATGTTTGAATAATTTTAATATAAATTATTCTTCATTGATGTTTTTGATTTTTTTTTTTGTTTTTATTATACGATAAATTAACCCTTTTACTGCACAAATTATTATATTTATATTTACATTTAGTCAAATAATTGATTTTTCAAAGGGGATAAACTAACTACCTATACAATTTATGAAAATAAAATAGTGAAAATAATATTTTAAAAATGCAACAAGGACTTTTTATGTGCGTTCCGATTAGCATCAATTTTTGTCATTAACTTATTAAGGAAAAAAACTTTCATAAATGTTTGTGCGAATGAAATTGAACTCAAAAATTATAATGATTATACAGGTTCCGAATCAACTTTCCTCTCATACCTATATTCAAATTCATTCTTAGTTCCTCCAATATCTAGCATTTAGAAGTACAAGAAGAAATTAAATAGAAGTTTTAATAAAATTCCTAAAGGCAGGGCAATGAATTGCCAGTAATTTTTTTTATCCTATCTAACTCCTCCTCACAGCGTCGGAAGTTAATTTCTCATTAGTCAACTTCATATGCAATCATAACCCATAAACATATATAATTATTACCACTTGTTCTAATCCACGAACACATGGCGTGTTACGTTCATTTAATCTGATGTCAAGGAAATCGACGTAATAGAGAAGATGACCGATTTTTGTTTGTCCGTCCGTCAGGTATCTTGAAGAATATTTATTTTTTCTGTAATCAATCAATAAATTACGCTCATACGTTGTACTGAAATGTCGTATGCCGTCACACCTTTGTATATTTTCTACGTCGTTGTGACGTAGCGAGCCCCCGTTCCACAACTTTAATGTCTGTTATCTAAGCTGTTTCTTATTAAATTGAAGTAAAAAAATATTTTGTCTAATATTCTTCTATTATGTGATTGACAGACTAATCAAAATTTCGATATTTTTTTTACGCAGTCATCATCCCTATTGGTGTTGTGTGCGATTCGATAGATTCGCGGGAATCAAACCCGGAAGTGTTAGCCACTCGATCACGGAGGTTGTATACTTGAAAATATACCTAGTGGAGACATTGTTAGCTTTATTAATGAAATGAAAAGAAAATATCTTTATTCAAGTAAACTTATTTCAAGCACTTTTGAATCGTCCAAAAAATATTTTTACCACTTGTTCAGGACGTCTTTTAGCTGACAAGAAGAACAAGCGAAAGAAACTTACCAGCTCTTTACCATTAGTAATGACATTTACATAAATCATATCATTACCTAAATAGTATGTACTATCACAATATTAAATACAAGTTTCAAAGTCTGTAGGACATAGGTACATATAATTAGTCGTTATAGAACAAAGCGAAGGCTATTAATTCCATGCATTGCGGTTCTTAAAATAATCATCAACTTTATAATAGCCTTTACTCATTAAGTATTACATTAATTTTAAATTTATTTATGTCAATTACATTTTGTGGAACTTTATTGAGCAAAGCAATGCATCTAGAAATGATCCTCTGGTATTTTGAAGTCTGAAGCTTGGATCGGCCTGTGTTAAGGCCTTTCCTCTGTTAAGATTATGAACACTCCTTTTTTTTTGTGAAGAAATCTTAATGTTTTCTTGCGTACATAATATTTTTCTCAGCGATTCCCTAGATCGTAAATTATATATAGCGCGGACAGCTCTCTTTTGTAGAATAAAAATATCTTGAATGCTAGCCGAAGAACCCCACAACAATAGACCATACGTCATTACACTATGAATAATACACTAATCTTGCCGTTTCAACATTTGTCAAAAGTCTAATTTTCTTAACAGCAAATGCTGCAGTACTTGTCAAGTAGACAACTTGACAAGTTATCAATATGAGCATCCCATTGCAGTCGGGAATCTAGTGTAAAACCAAGGAACTTTATCGATTCTTTAAGTTTTTATTATATTTTTTAAGTTTCACATTTTAATTTATTCCAGGTGTGGTTCCAGAACCGCAGAGCCAAATGGCGCAAACAGGCGCGCTTACAGCTTCTTCAGGACGCCTGGAGAATGCGCTGCCTTGGCTTGGGCACATCACCGCTTTCGTTACCAGGTTAGTACTACAGTTGGTACATTATCTGACAGAATATCCGTCGAGTGTTTCAACGGTAGAATGCTTTAGTACTAGACCTGCGTTTCCTCAAATTTTCTGTCCACTGTCTCCAGGGATATGCAACACGAGATCACAGGATTCCATTAACAACAAAGACTATTACATTCTGAGATAATTTGCATTTCAAATAAATTGGTTCTACATTTTTCAATGTCAGTTTTCTTCCAAGATGAGCTAAAGCCCACGTATTAGAGTATCTGAGACAATGCAGGTACCACAACACCCAAACCCGAGACAATATAAAAAAGTTAATTTTCTACCTAAATCCAACCGAGAATCAAACCCGGCACCTCAAATGTAGGGACACCTTGAATCCGGCGTATGATCCACTCGGCTACCGAGGTCGGGCTTTGCTGTAACGTGCTGTAACGGCTTAGACATGATATATAGTTTTGATTTAGGCGTATATTCGTCGCGATAAGTATTTCGCAGTCCGCATACATATGGAAGCTGCTCCCCTGGGGTCAGGGGAGCAATGGTTGGGAACACTGACATAAATTGGAACAGTGTGCAAGGTTCATATTCCAAATGAAACCACATCATTTATTACATATAACATTAAAACTACGGGTGGGTATCATTTTGATGTTATTGTGCACATGTCGCAGCCAAGTGGTATAATCGGCCGACCAGCTAGCCCTTTAATTAAATGTAGCCATTCAATTAGCAGGCTGACTTTCGATAAGCTAATGCATCGTTCTACAATACGGCTGAACAAAAGTTAGCCAGTGAATTTATCGTCAATCCATCGAGAATACCGAAATTTAATGGTAGGATTAGAAGTAAAATAAAATAAATACTGTAGTAGGTGATAGGTGATTTTAAATAAAACTAAAAAAAACTTGTTACGACCTGTAATCGATACAGATACAGATCAAAAATATAATAAAAACTGCTTATTCGCGACTGGGTGTCAATGGTCTGTATGTTCCATTACTAAGCTAACGTACACACCCACAACACAAGTGGATGAAGCTCAAACTTTCTTAATAAATTCCTAATACTGGTACAATTGTGCAAAGACAATATATATTTATTTATTTAACAAACTTTATTGACCGTTGGAATGGTACAAAAGGCGGAGTTAATGCTAATAGCATTCTATACCAGAAAAACATGATGGCGGCATAAAGTTAACTATAATAATAAATATACTTCTAAAACTATACTACAAATAAATCAATATACAATTATATACTATACATACGCATAAACATAAATAAATAATATACCTACACATAAATACATATAGAAATACATGTACCGCGATTCAATACATTGCAAGTAAGCAATGTATTTGACTGCGATAGTTTTTATCATGTTTATTACGATTTCGCAACATGATAAACAACGAAGTTATTTTGGGCACGTAGGTCACGTGATAGGTTAGAAAGTTTACGACGATCTCAAATCTGAGCGTAGCGATCGCATTAAATGTCGAGTTTATTTTTTAAATTTAAATAATTCATAATGATTCAAGTAGAAAACTAGGCGTGCAATTAAATGGCGCCATTCAATTAACCAGACTGTGAACACCCGTTGAGAACCCTATTTCCCCCTCACATTATGTTCCGCGATTTTCTCGTAATGAAAAATTATGAAAAGTGATAATAAAATTATTGATGAATTAAGATATATATTTTTAATTTAAATTAAAACCCTAAACAGATATACGTTCCCTTTCATATTGTACGTGTGTTGCGTTACGAGTTATTGAACGTTCACCACTATTCAAACCCTAAACTGAATGACTATGTTTTTCAATTATACATACTTGTATAAATTTAGCTGTCACATCTTTTCGGCAATGTGATTCAAAAAAGTGATGTCCGCAACTGTTCTTAGTTTATGTTTTCACAGAAGCTCATGGATATGGAAACTATATTTTTCATAGCTACTTTTAATAAACCACCTGCAAAATTACATTTGACATTTTACAATATTAAAATTGTAATAGCAACTACTTTATACATATTATAAATGATATTAAAATACAGATTTTATGATATTAAATTATATACAGATATAATTTAATATCATTCAACTCAAGAGCCGTATATCAGTCCAAAGGTCGACAGACAAACGGATGCACTGGCAGATATACTGATGAAACACTATTACTATTTATGAACGCACGAACACGATAAAATATATTGACTTCCGTTTATCAACATGTAAGCAATCCTAATAATCAAACAATAATCCATTACTGCTTTATTTTCAGGGCACGCCAAACCACCAGATTCATCGCCAGAAGCACCAGAATCACCTTCGGAGAAGGACTCACCTGAACCACCATTAGACAACAGGGAACTGAAGTCTCCACGTCAGGATCCATATATGCACAATCCAAACCTACAGGAATCCTTAACGCCTGTATCCCCTGCAATACACGATATGCCACCTCAAATGTACGGGAATGAAGACGGTAGGATCCTCCAACAGCCATTTCCATTCCCACCAATGATAATGAACCAACAAATAGAAAGCACAGATATAGTTCCAACAGATTTGAGAGTCATACCAAAGAACTGCCCTTGTACTACTACCATTCACAATATTGAAGAGCCACAGAATTTAGCCTATCGGTCGAGGAGAGAAAAAGACAACGACAGTGAGAGCGACACTGAAATAGATTTGACATCACATTCGTCGAAAGACGATGATCTTAGAGAGTCCGAGCGATTGGCCAACAGGATAGCCACAAACATTTTTCGAAGTGACACAGTTTTGCACGACTTGGTGCCCAACGATTTAAGTCTTGGCTCTATAAAGAATACCAATTAGAATATTTCCAGGAGCATAGCTTTACATTAATTCGTTGTAATGTTATTTAGTAGTTTATTTTCCTATTTATTTTACAATAATTTAAATGTAAAGTAAAACTACATCAGTTTGTTGGCAGTAGTTAATTTTTATATTTTATTTGGTGCCTAAGTAGCAAACGTAGATAAAACGTGATAGAAGTAGCTAGACGATCTTGAAATGTATTCCAAAGACTTTCTAAGTATAGGTAAAATAAAATAACTTAATCAATAAAAATAGCACCACGTACAGTTCTTTATTGATGATTTATCATAGTTGTATAAATTTCAATATGTACGTACTACATTTATTGTAAATAGTGTCACGATAAATAAGTAAACGCCATGAATATACAATAAACTATACATAAAATTACTTACAATTTTATTTACAGATAATTTATTACATAATTAATCGTAGACTATATTCTTGTTAAATATATCACAACTGTTTGAAGCTCTACAGTGGTAGAGATGGTTCTATAGATGGAATCTTCTTGATTCAATTAACAATATAATAAACGTAATGTTATAATACCTGTAAGTAAAAAATAATCTTATTTGAAATAGGCTATTGAGGTCGATATCATAAATCTTGATTTGTTCCTTTTCCTTTTAAGGTTCACTTCCAGTATGCAAATTGGTGACAAAGTCAAAACATACCCATAAAGTTTGTTTGATCGCTTATCTTTAATATTACATAAAAATCTTAAAGGTGCTGGAAATTTTTCCCTCATAACAAATTGAAGAATTTAAGGATGTTTTTTTTTCATTTACACTAAGTAGTCTTTACAAATAGGTACATATTTACTAGTTTCATACTTCATATAAGGTTCCCACTCATTCATCATGTTTTCATCCAGATTTAGATATTTTTCATATCAGATATTAGAATAAAGGATTTCATATCAAGCTATGATGGAGCAAGTCAGGAATTATAGTAACCATTTCTCAAATTAGACGACAAACTATCCCAATCTATAGATCTGCCAACCATGGCTACTACAAAAATTTTGATTTAGTATGCTCTATTATTTGACAATGAGGAAGTATTTAAAAAAAACGAAAGCACAAAAAAAACACCTCCACTAGATGGCGACTCTAGCAAAAGTTGATTTTTGCAGGAAACTAATGGACCAAAGACAGTCATTTCCGTTCCTTTTAACTGACATATTAAAAACTGAAATTTGAAAAGTTCGAAACTTAGACATCAATACAAATAGAATATGAGTTATTTATTGAGTTTTGAAAACTTATTTACTTTTAAATTTGAAAGAAAACTGGAAAGGTTTTCATGGAGAAATCAGAAACGTACCGTAACAAAATCTAGATTGATTTCAGGAACTAATGTTTTTTTTTTTAAATGCTTCCTCATTATTCGCCATCCCGCATAAATATTTTATCCACTGAAATTATTTAAAGGTTGAATATCTTCTAACACACATAATGATTATAAAATGACTCGGAGATCATTCAATTAAAAATATAATAACTGTACTACGCACCACATATTATGTACCAATAAACGTCTTACGAAGATCTATAATTAAGATATGTCAAAAAACTACAGTATTCAATGACACGCTTTCGTAAAAATATGGGAACTTTCTAGTAATATTAAAAGTAATTGTTCATTCAAATTCAAATACTGTAAACGGACGCTCATTAACTAAAGATTCCTGTTTGCTGTCTATTTTCAAGGTGTGAAAAATAGCGTCCACCATCTTCGCTGTGTAGCAAGTAGGCATTCGTTCCAAACAAGGGCCTATTACGGTTCCAACTGAAACCGAAAATCTAAACTTCTATGCTTGTCGCACCAGATAAGAAACATGATATCGAGGTTAAGGTAATAGTGATATGTGCAACTCTGGATTCTTGTAGTCGTGCTTGGAGTACCAGACGAATGACTTGTCATTGATGCTAAGGTCACATATGATCATCGGAATTATCTTTTTTCAAGGCTATTCTAGTATGTTCAAAACGTCGATTTTTGCTTAGTAGACACTCAAATAAAAAATTTCGGTGCACCAGTCACTTCAATTTAAGAGCACCAGATGATCGACAAGATATTGGGCCTGTGGTCACTCGTTAAGTAAAAAATTAATTACACTCGTTATGAGGTAACCTCGATATATTCTAGTGATTCTGGTTATACTAAATATCTTCCGAATTCTTGCAATTGTACTGTAGAATGCAGCCGTTCCAAATAAAAGTAGTAATACAGTAACGCCTTATACCTGAGATTGTATTTGATGCCCTAGATGATAGACAGAAAATCTGGACTCCATCACCCACTATGCGGCAAACACCATTTATTCTAATAATTTTCAAGCTGATTATTTTCTGATCACACGATATTATACTACTTACAATTTGTTCAGATATGTTCAAAGCAATCTTCTCTTAAGACAAACTGTGAAGTGAGACTAAAATCTGGAGAATTTTCTTAAAGTACTGCAGAATATTACTGCAAAAGGCACTCTTTTCAAATTAAGGCTACATTTAATACTCCTGATGTAATGCAACTATCGTGCTCGGAACATTAAATGATCGAGATCACATCGGGGCTGAATCAACCACAAATTTTGCAGTAATGTTGAAGGTTAATGCTTCTCTTAAGTTCAAATCGTTGGGATTACATTGACAATCTTGCGATTTTTCTGAATGGTATTGAAGAAGGCAGTTCTTCCAAATAAATGCTACATGTGTTACGGCAGATATGGAGCTAGAGACACCTGGAGTCGTGTTGGGAGCACCAGGCGGGCGAGAGAGCGTCGGGGCGGAGTCCTCGTGCTATGAGGCGGGCGCGGAATCGTTGCAGACGCGGCTCCGCGGCATTCGGCAAAGTCAATGGATCTGACCATAGTCGCTCCGCTACGGCCGCCGCGCGTGGCCATACACGCGTGTCTAAAATAATCGAAAATAAATAAATATTAGACAACATCACATACATCTAAATTAAGTAACTTTTAGCAGTTAATTATGGAAATCCGAAACAATGAAAGTCCAGAAGACAAACACCAAAACTCAAGACAATATAGAATGATTAATTTACTATGTTGACCAGCATGCTTACTCTTGAAGGCGATCGCGAACCTTATTGACATTGAGTAAACGTTGAGTCAGAGGATATGGCGAATTTCTGGTCACAAACGATTTGTAATAAATTCCTCGCAAACTTTTACGATTACTTTCTTGTTTATAATGCCCTCGGTTACAAAGTGATACTCATGTTCTTGTTTTGTCTAAATTAAGAAGTGATTTAAACTTTTAGTTACATCCAGAAAACTAAATAAGGGCATTTATGTAATAAGTATAAAATCATTCAAGTTACAATACCTACCTAATCGCTAGTTGATAAAATTAAATTAATAGTTATTGTATTTTTACATTCGAATATAAACTCAGTATGAAACTGATTTAGAACTGCTTAATGCGTAATTCCTACCTAGTCGCTGCTGAAGGCGCTTTGTATCAGTATTAAAAGCTTACATGTTCTATAGTACGATAAACGAGAACATATATATAATAACCAAATGCTCTAGCTAATACAAAAGATACATATATCTGTAATAACCAATTTACGGCAATAAGCAAATAATTTAAAGTATTTGGTTGGTATCATAATCCTTCGTGTGTTTTATTTTTCACGACATTAATGCCTTCCTAGATTAAACAGTTAAACATCTCACCTAAAGCGTTCTCGTCGACGTATTCAGTCCACATCGCTACTTCGCCTCCTAGCATGTTTGCATCCTTGGGCAGCATGTAAGTGTACATCCTCCTCCAATTAGAATACTTGGTCTGACCCCAGAAACCGTGATCTAAGTACCAGATGTCTTTTGGCACTGACACCGTACGATAGCCCAGCCTCAAAAGATCGGTCAGAAGAGAGCTAAGCACCGGTTCCCATACTTCTATGATGTATCTGTAATAATGTATATTAAAATTGATGTACGACGGTTTATCTTAGAAAAATAATTGTAAGAAACAGCTGTCTCAGCTACCAAGCTTGAACCAAGGACCTTGCGTTTATCGATTGCGCAGTAGGTAGCGCGATCGATGAGCAAAACTGAGGTTATGCAATTTCCCCTTTAAAGACCGGTCATGTGGATTAACTAGCTACAGTCAAGATCTGTCATGCTTCGAAAGGTACTTTAAGCAGTTGGTTTCGGCTGCATCAGAAGTCTTTAATACCCAACAATCCACACTGGGCTCGAGAGTGGATTATGGCCAGTTAACGTATTTGATTCCATTCTTAGCAAAACCCTGTGCTCTTGCAGCGGGAATATCAACAGGCTGATGAGCATTGTGAATGCAAACTTCACTAAAATAATATATGAAATTTTAAGGGTTCTTATCTAACCTATTAACTATTAACTCGTCGTGGCCCGGACGCGTCGAGAAATGATTAAAGCGATGCAATAATAATGCAAATACCGAGCCTGGGGACCGAGCATGTGTAATAAATTATATCGATATAGAGTCAACAAGAATATACGTATGAACAAAGAATTCTCTCAACTTAATCAAGCTGATAAAGAAAGGTAATTCAGCTGACAAAACAACACGAGACCTTAAATGTTTATCATTTAAACTTTGGGCAACTTGTGTAAGTTCGTCTTTACAATATATTCAGCAGCTGATTCTTTAACAAAAAATGGTTCCTTTAGACGAAGACAAGTGTAAAACCAATTTACAGTCGTCTTAATCTTATGTTTTAATTCCTGAATATCTAATTAAAATTTCGTTTAAGCCTCACCTGTCCTTACTTAAATACTTCTGCACCCTATGCGCCTGTGTAAGTTCTGAAGACCAAATCATAACCGGTTGTGGTTCATCGGTACCGAGTGATTTCAGCTCCTCATCCCAAGCTTGAAGAGCATTAGTATGGAACTCTCCCCACAATTTGATGAACCCATCAACCGTTCTTTCTATACCTTTTTCTTCCATGTAATTAACTATCGCCTCACTTGAGTTCCAGCATCCGAAGAATACCTGAAAGTAAGTTTAATCATCATTGAAATAAATTTTGATTAAGTATAATGTAACTCGATTGTGGTATTTGATGATATCTGAAACATAATTACAATATCCTTGACCTTTGATCTCAATAAAACTGGATAATGTGACGAGTTTTTTTCACAAACTAAATGTGTTTAATTTTTTGTTAAAGAGACACATATTGATTATAGAACTTAAAAACGATAAATAAATAAATACTTTATTGAACTTTGGCCTAATATAAAAAAACTTTGGAAAAGTTTGGGCTTTAGAAAGAGCTCTAGTCCAGTAGTTTAAATATTTATAGAGTTACCATAACAATCAGTTAAGACTAACCGACAAAATTAAACTGCTTACCTCATCACCACCCACATGAAGAACTGCTGGCTTGGGCAGCAGTTCAGCTATGTCCTTATAAAGATTCCTAAGCACTCTGTACATGACAGGATTGGCAGGATTAAGTTGTCCACAGGGAGGCTCGATGCAAAGACGACGCCAAGGTTCTGCATTCACACAAACTGCTAAATCACCAAAACCATAATCCTGAAATCAAAATAAAATAATTACGATTATTTTCAAGTAGCTAAACACGATTGATGTTCTTAGTTATGTCGTGGGCTTCAACCCAGAGGGACGTATACGCAAAAATTAGTTATTTTCTTATAATACCAATCTTCTCTAATTTTGTCAATTAAGAAAACAAGTTCTTTTTATAAATGATCGGCAAATTACTTGAACAGATATAAGTGAAACACTGTCCGACATCTGACCGACAGTATGTATATTTTTCACGTCTCCTGAAAAGTTAGGGCATTGCCTCTATGGCTTGAAGCCCGCGTTACATAGGTATTGTATGCATGTTAAAGTATCAGAATTAAAAATAATCACAAACATTCATGGTATTATATAGAATCAGAACATAGAGACTAGAAATAGGAATCAAACTCATTCTTGAATTCCTTTGCATCCTTTAACATCTTGCAGAGGGTATATAGTTTAAAAAATATTTGTTTAATTAATTTACACTCATTCACTGATGATATTTTGTTTAAAAGGATTTTTTTAGATATAAAATTGACAATTTCAACTACCTACAAAATCAGCTGTTTGTCAGCAGGCTAACAAACTTAGGTACAGTAGATAAATAGATTTTCAAAACAATATATAAAAACAAACATATTATCGGCACGCTACCTTTCCCCATTGCCATCCATTGCCAGCGTGCGCCGGCGCATCTATCTCTATGACAACACGGACACCTCGTATTTGTGCATACTTGATCAGTTGACGAACTTCCTCCACTGAGTAGATGTCTGATGATGAATACGCACCATACCTAAACAGAGTTGAATACTTATAATATTCCACCAAAACTTCCGATTTTGCTGAAGCTCAGCATTTTACTTTATCGTTAATTATTAAAAATGGAAACTATTATTGTCTTGTTCCGTTTCATTTTGGCTCAAAATTGCGGGAGGGCAACAACTGTAAGTAGTAATATTCTAAATACAATTTTCTAAATATAGCCAAAACAAACAAAAAATGCAATTATGTACCCTACTTCATCACATTATTTAGTAATAAACAATTAAATCTCTTGAAGCCATATTTTATATTTAGGAGTGAGCCAAATATTATATAAGACTAGTTTAAACAAGATGCTCTATGTTAGAACTCACCTTGTAAACTGCGGTACTCTCGTAGATTCTAGCGGAAAACTATGAGAATCAGTCACATGCCAATGGAAAACGTTTAATTTAGTTGAAGCCATGCCGTCGATCATTCTTTTGATATCTTTCATTGGGATAAAGTGCCTGGAGGTGTCTAGAACTAGTCCCCTATGCCTGTAGGCGGGTTTATCTCTGATCTTGGCACCTATGATGACGCGTAGACCACATTGAGGTTGGTGCGATTGGTCCGGTTTGTCGGTCGTCACCAGCTGACTGAATGTTTCTAGGGCATGTCGAGCTCCGTATACATTATCAGCGTCAATACGAACTGCTACGCCACCATCTGCAATGTTGCATGGACTTTCTGATACATTATTTTTCCCACGAAAGAAGTAAAAGGATTGAAAATATCCGCTCCTAATTTAATTTAGTATATGTGTCGTTGGTGAATATTCAAAAAATTTGACTTACTGAATACATGGTGTACCGTCACCAGTGTGCAAACTTCCGTGACAATATACTTGCAGCTCGATAGCTGTGGTTAGCATGCACAGTCTGCGATACGGTTGGTAAGCCACTTTCGCAAGGGCTGGTTATATGATGGATGATGGATATGATGGATGACCAAAAATTTTGTATCTCGTGCTCTTCCGTGCTTTGGAAGGCACGTTTGGCAGTTGGTTTGTTGATCGGCTGGCGGCCTGTATCTACAGTCGTGAACACCTACCGATCCGCAGTGGGCCCGGGCCTATTTTCTATTCGATTTGAGTAGATTACATTCATAGGGAAACCCTGAGCTCCAGCAGCGGGGACATAAATAGACTGGTGACGATACTTCCACAGGCTAAAAATTTGTATTTATTCTTCGATTACTAGTTGAAATCAAAATGATCGTATATTTGCAGCAGGCAGCTGTTCACTTTCCAATCTTTAAAAAAAATGGATTAAAAACTCTTAAATACAACTAGGTTAGACTGTTATCAGCTTGTTGCACGAAGTCGTTAACCAATTATTTATATAGCGAACAAGAAAACGGCTTTAGTGATAGGCCATGCATTTTACTTACTTTATTTTTAAAACTTTTGGAAACAATTAAAACTGCTTCTACTTTTGTTACATTTCGTATTGCAGTATAAGTAATAACGTTGTTTTTAATTTCTTATGACACTTTATTATCATCTTTCAGTATCAAACATAATGAGACACTAAAAAAAGACAATCAGGTTGTGGTACTACATGTCTCTGTTCTGTTCTGATAATACTTTCTGTAACTATGGCTATGAAGTTAATGTTTGATGATTATTTGGTCTGAATCAAAAGTACCTTTCATCTGGACATCCAGGAAGTACTCCTCGTTGGTATCCCAGGTGAGCTCTAGGTTGTTACCCCTCACAGTGAGGTAGACCACCACACGAGTATCGACCAAGTCCGTCACGTTACCGGCGCACTCAGCCATCAAGTTTGATGACGTCACTTGCGTCATTTGAGCTATCATCTCTCTCGCTTCCGCGGGGACGTTACTCAGGTCATACCTTTGGAAATAAAAAGACCATTATTAGAGCATATTTCTGGTGAAAATATGTGTTGCATGTGTTTCAATATTTGACTTCGACCAACATTGCAGGTCAAATAATAATTTCGATGATTATATTTGGTCGGTTTCAGCTGAGCCGATGGAGACCGACACGATGCCGGCCACAGGATGGGTGACCAAAAATTTTTTATCTCGAGTTCCTTCGTGATTTAAGAAGTCACGTTAAGTAGTTGGTCCCGATTGCATCTGGCTTCGTTGACACCTAATATTTCGCACTTTCATCGTTTCACAATTTCTTTCGCAATATTTCGCACATTCGCACGTGACTAATGACCAGTTCTTATTTGATTATATCCAATAGGGAAGGCATGAGCCACGGCAGTGTGGACGCTAATTGAGGATGATAACTTTAATTATTATTGTGAGTTTTGCACTTTCAATGCAATTATTATGTTTTTCTTCTCAAACCTGCTGTCCGGGTGAATACATTTCCAACTGAGCTTTCTAAGACAACTTTTTTCAAGAATTTTTAAAGAGACGATGATTTACATTTACCTATATAAAATAAAAATCGAATTATTCTAGAGAATGCAAGCGAGAACGAGATCTCGCGAGATGTTGGCCTTTTTTAGTAAGACCGATCTCGGTCTAAAAATGGGCGAGATCTCACGAATTTATTCTATAATTCTTAATAGATTTCTGAGTATACATAACTTTCTTTAGTCGATAATAATAACTCAATTTTTTTATTAAGTCAACTTACATAATTAATGAGTTTTATTTTAATTTTTGATTTCTTGTAGTTTTGTTATAAGATACCTAACTGTTTAATAAAACACTTTTGTTTGATATTAGCAGAGAAGTTTGGCGTTTTATTTCATTTCGTATTTGATTACATACGTCAAAGTTTAGTATTTAAAAGTGTATTACCTGGATGACTAACCTAATTAAATCGATTTATCGCCCCTGTATAATAAATTTAATGAAAATTGTTGGAGCCGTTTCCAAGATTCAGATTATAATACAGAAACCGCTCGGTTAAAAGTAGTAGATAAAAAATATGAAATTTATAAAAATTTATTGAAAATACCCGTAAAAATAAATGTTTATTTCATAACAGTCATTATTCCTAATATTTTTTCTAAATTATTCAATTATAGTGATTATTTGCAACAATTAACACACAAAAGAGTCAATCTCGCGAGATCTCGAAATTGGCAAGATCTTGCGGTATTCATATTCATGAACTTGCGAGATCTCACCCGAACCCTGATCTCGAGAGATTGCATTCCCTAATTTATATCAATTATCTTCCTGGACTTCCGTAAATAGATTAGATTGGCAAACTATCACTATTTGTGTAAGTTACCGATCACCTTGAGATCGGCGATCTAAAATTATTTTGTATATCCAATTATTATTACGAATAATATACATAGTGTAATCACAATCTTATGTAATATTTATCTTTAAATACTAGATAGAAACTGTCCCAGTTACTAGCATGATTCCTGTTTCTTTCGGGTAAAAATAGTTTTAAAGACATTTTAACAAAAATTTGCTTTAAAAAGAAAAAAGTGTAGAGACCTAATGCCTAAGACTACAAATTTCTAATAAATAAAATTATTCAAATTTTATCTTCCTTTCTTAGAATTCAAATTATAAGGAAAATATCGATACTTACATGTGCATTTGTAGAAACGGAATATGACAAGGCATGATCACGACTCGTTATCGAATAAATGACCTGAGGTTCATTTTAAGGCCAAAGTGCCGCTAGCTGTTATGTGGTATTTACACCACAGGATGTTATGTGGTATTTACTCTTAACTAAATTCTGTAAATTTTATTATATTTCAATTCACAAAGCTATACTGAAAAATATTCTTAATAAAAATCCACTTTCTTTGTCCCTGGCGCTCTGAAATGGGTATTATAAATGCAAAATAGATCAAATATAATAATAAAAGAATAAAATTTAGAACAAAATTTTCGTCTTTATCGAAAGTTTAAATATTTGTGAAAATATTTCTTTTGGCTGTTTGGGTGAATTGCCTTAGCACTTGTTAAAAAGTAACAAGTGTTTGAAAAATTCGTCAGTCGTGTTAGGTCCTGGCTAACCACTCTTACAATTAGTAACGATAAGTAATGATAAACTGCTCTAAAGCAGTCGCATGGATAGCGAAAGGTCATGGGTTCGAATCCCATCTCAGAGTGCCAGGGACAAAGTGTATGTTTTAAGCATTTTATTAAGAATATCTGAAAAGTTTTTTAAGCATTGCTCATATATATATTAGCTACTTTCCTTGAAATTTTAACGTGCTTACGCAATAGTAGTAATGTGATATTATTCTTTAATTTTTGGCTATCGTGATTATTAAGTATGCATGGGACTAGTGGATTAAATCATTATCAATCAGAATTCAATGCGCCGAAGGAGACGACAAAAAAGAACTTCAAAAAATTTAATGAAAACATATGAATGAATGTCAGAATTGTAATGTCGCCTGTCTATCGTTTACATGTTATAAAAACAATTGTGCCTGTTTGCCTTTTGTTAAATATCCTTTTTATGGCTTCATTGTCTTCGTTACTTATGCCTTCCTTCCTTATAAAATCAGGTTTTAATGCATAGTCATTTTCCATTAATGGAAAATGACTATGCATTCCTTTCTAACCATGTTTCCATAACTAAAATGCCGCGTCCTTATCAAAGTAAAATATCATATATCTGTACAGCGAAATTAAATTAGAAAATATGACATTTGAACAGATTTTTTAACAGTGGTTAAAAAACACTATTTGTCAATCAGTAAACTAATGTGCAGCCACAAGGACAAGTTAACGTTCAAACCATAATTATTGTTACAACCTATCATTGTTGATTCAAAAAAAAAGCTATTTAAATTTACCGGTGTTAATAACCTAAATAATCCACTGGCTCTTTTTATGATCACGCCCTAACATAATCGCGATTTATAAATGTCCCAATGAGTCATTCACCTTTAGAGTCGTGTTAATTTGCTTCACTATTTATGCATATAAATAAATATTGACATAACCACTTGTGGGATGCTTAACATTAAGGTAAACGGCCGATGATGGTCAAAGACCTCTCGGTCTTAAGCCAACAGCCATAATAACTTGTTTGACGTTATTTTAATAAAATTGGCGAAGGAGCTTATAAAACAATGTAAAAAAGAAAATCTTGTAAGTTCAATGCCTTACATAATAACTAAAATTCTACTTAAAAATATGTATTGCTTACAAAATTGCTTACTCGGATATATTATTAAACGTTTTAATTTTCCAAAGTTCCATGTATTCCCCGACTGTTGTTGATTTTAGGACAACGTCACATCACTATTTTTTATAATTTCCGTAGTTATGATAAGTAATGATATACAATTAAATTACTTTTATGAGACGATAAAAGATCTCTTACACTATTAAATTCAGACATTTCTTATAGGAAAAAGGGAGAAATCTCTTATTGCCATGCATTGCAAAATGAACCTAGACTTTATAACAAGTTTTTATAAGTAAAATATTTAAAATTTTGGTCTTAGAAACAATTTAAGAAATATCAATTTGATTTCAGTATCATTTTAGAACAAGGAAAATAATAAGAAAATCATCAACACAATAACATAGACAAATTTATCTAGTATTTGTTTGTCCTCTATATTTAGAGCGCATCGTTTGGATGTAACCCAGATGATCAAAAGATTGATCGAGGGCAATCCCTTTTAATGTTTCTAAATTGATCAAAGGAAAATTTTAATTATAGATTATAGTAATACCTAGCGAAAAACGAAAGTCGATTACCAAACAGCTGAACATATATTTAATATATTATAATATCTGATTTATTATTTAAATACTTATATAAATCCGTATTTGCATTCAGTAGTCGTATAAATCAATTTAATAATGAGTTTCGCAAGTTTGATTTTAACTACGAGTACACTGTAATAAAAATATTATAAGATTGGCCTACTTTAGAAATTAACTAGCTGATTTCCGTGACTTCACCAGCCTAAATTATAGCCTATGTCACCCGCACGTGACGTAACTTCCCGTAGGTAAAAGTTTGAAACTTTAAGTCGTTATATTATTAGTATAGATATACTCGTAGAAAGGTTCAGTAAGTACCTTCTTCTAACTGAACTGTATGGACTTTGGAGATCCGGATGAAATATATATCAACTACAAGACGATGTGATAAAAGATATACAAAACTAATAATACTACATAAATGACAATCTGTTTATATCATGCGTAGCATCTGATTTTGTAATCTATGTGAAATATTTTTAGATGAATAAATCCCAGACGTATCGCAGATATAACAGCTCTTTGATACATATCCACTTCAATCGTTAATGTTATTAACGTTGTTTATATGTCACCATGACCGTAACAGGAACCACTAAAAATACATAGTATGAGACGATACCCACTACTTTAGCTAAACTTTTCCGTCAACGATCAACACCGGAACGTGCCGGGCACGAACCAAAATACTAACGCTCCTTAAACTTGTAAATATTTTTTTGTGAACGACTAATAAACGGATCGCATCTCAATATAATCTCAAACACTTGCATTTTAGCGTTAATATGTCATCATCATCATCAGCCCTTTTACGTCCCCACTGCAGGGGCTCAGGCCTTCCTTATGGATGGTTAAGGAGGATGGGCCATGACCCTCCACGCTGGCCCAATGCGGATGGGAGGGTATTAACGACTGCAAATGCAGCCGGAACCAACGTCTTAACGTGCCTTCCGCAGCACGGAGTAGCTCGAGATAATAACTTTTTGGTCACCCATCCCGTGACCGACCCTTGCGAAAGTTGCTTAACGACAACGATCGCGGGCCGCGGCGCTTATCCACTACGCCACCGAGCTACCACCGAGTTAATATGTACCTGAAGTTTAATATTATTAGTGCAATGTCTTCCTCACAAATCATGGGTAACGGATATATTTATTATTTTGTGATCTAGTAACAAGAACTGTGTCATAATGGGTTGTAGTTGAAGCGTTATTGACAATATTGATTACACACGATTGATCCGATGCAATATTGATTACACACGGTTGATCCGATGCAATGGGCATAGTTACTGTAGCATTTTTTTCGTACTTGATACGTTCATAGCACGGTCGTGGCATGAGCACGGTATAATAGAAAATGTTCTAAAATGTAAACCTTTTTTAAACGAGATATTTATAACAATATTTCCTTCCAATACAATCCAATTGACGCACAACATATTTTTCTCTTCTATTGTCACAAAAATATAAAAGTTTAAAATAAATTCTATTTATTTGCAATTAAAAACACGTTTCGTTTACGTTGTTATTGTGTTAAATCTTTCGTTGCATTTACTATATGCATAGTATAACCTTATTACAGAAGGTTATCTCGTTGTGATATTTTGCCTCTTTTTAACTTTGTTTATAGGGCGTAATCTTCGATAACACATATCTGTCCATGAGAATTCTTTCTTTCCCGCTACATCATATTTTTGCCGTTTTATTTTCTCGCACCTCCTTGCGTGAAATCAGCAAGAGCTATCATCTGTCTCTTTTTGTCTCGTTGTTGATTTCGTCTAGTTTTCAATTTGGTTTTACATAGTCATAATATATAGGTACAGTCATGAACTTATATTGCGTGTTGCTATGTTTACACATTCCGTCTCACCCCCGCACCTCGATTGAGCCTCAGTAGGACAAACTTCCATTAAAAACTGCTATTAGTCTAATAGGGATATCACAGAGAAAAATTTTCAAAAACATTAATTACCCGGTAAGCATAATCGTCATTTTGGTTCAACTTACGTGCGTCACATTAAACCTATTGTTTTACAAAGTTGTCTACTTTCTTACTGTTTATTATAGTACGTCGCACGCGTGATGAGTGCGGTCACAGAGAACTATGACGCAAGAAATGTCGCCACCAAGAATAGATAGACGAACAGTAGACACCTGTAACGACGACTTCTAGACTTATATTTAGGTGAATAGAGTTTGGATGAGCTTTGATATATGTCATACTGAAAACTAAGATTTAAGAGAGATAATTTATTTAGCTAGAAGAAAAATCTTCACTAAATCTGTCATGAATTTTCGACTAACTGACCGATTTGCGATCTTTTAAAAGAATCCATAACAATTTTATAAATGCTTGGTTCAGTAATTTAGAGGTGAAAAGTGTTTATGTAAATTACTGAACCAATTTTAGTATAATTAAGTACCTACTTATATAGAGTGGGCCTTGGGAAAGACAGAAGAGAGCTTTTTCACTAAAAATAGGCTTGAAAGGAGAGATGATAACCAAATTCGACGCGGGTGAAGCCACGGGCGAAACGTTAGTCAAAATATGTTTTAATCCAGTGTATTGTAACAGAAAATTAAGAATCGCTAAATGATAATGTTACTTAGTGAATAATTTAACCTAACCTATGATGATTTCTAAATATTGATTTTTGTATTTATAATTACATTTTTAACAGATAATAAAGATATATTGATCAAAAAACATTATCTCAAAACAGAAGCAGTGCATATTAGAAAAATGGTTGGTGACGTTACAATACTAGGTACAGGTACAATAGCTAATAATAAAATAACACGTAAACTAGAAAATTCTGTCTAACCATGATTCATGTTTCTATTCATGACAACTCTTCAAAGTTTAACTTATAAGCTTTTTACCGCGTCGCTATTTATAAAAAAGAAAAGAAATTGGTAGGCCATACTCCACACTAAAATATACTAACTACTTTCATCCAAAAACTGTCTGTATATCTTTTACTTTTACTATGTCATTGTGGTTTTATTTTTTAAGTACTGAAAAGAAACCGTAGGTTCCTGCTTCTTCTCTATAAACTTTTGTTATCCAGAACGACTGTCTGTTCTTTTGTCGTCTTTTCAAAACTTTGAGATAGGAATGCACGCTTTTTTTTATAAATCGAATATAAATGGAAATTATTTAACTGTCCGAAACTACGGGATCGAACTTAAAACGTCTTTCACCCACGAGAAACTACAAAATAGGCCATTGACATAAGCTATGATTTACATGAGCGAACTCGCAGGAAAAGAAGTAATTTATGATAGAAAATAATATATAAAAGTATATCACTACGCGTTATTAAGAGAATTTAATTTGTAAAATCAATTACCAATACAATAAAATCTCTATATTTCTTATAATAGTCGATAGTTCCTTGCAAATAAATATGATTTGCGTTTAAACAGCTATCAATAAATCAGAGAGAACAAAATTAAATTCATTTATTGCTTGTAGTAACATTAATCTGAGTACAAATTCTATGAATACATTGAAACATTTTAGCTAACCTAACACTTGCATCTTTGTATTCGATGCATTATTGCTCAAACTCCTGATAATGTTAAGAAAATTCCTTTGATAGAAACCATTATTTGAAAAAAAAAGAAAGAAAATGTTAACGACTGCAGATGCAGCTTAAGCCATTAAGCCATTCCAAATCATGAAGAAGCTCGGATAATAATTTTTGATCACCCATCCTATGACTGACCTTGCGAAAGTTGTTTAGCAATTGTCCTGCAGACCTTCGCTATAGCTAGAGAGATCAAATACACACACTCAATGCTCCACCAACGCACACATGAATATAAGTCTTCATAATATTTCATTGCCTGTCGTCTTTGATCAAATTCTATATCATAAAAACAGTCTCTCTAACGTATTTCAAAGTCTTTAAATACCTACGTCATAGAAAAATAACCGGATTCAACAAAAAAGTCATGACTTTTGAAGCTTTGTTTTGTTAAAATGATGAATTTCACCTTCGGTATTAAAATACTTGTTATTTTTCGCTTTTTTGAAGTCTATTTTTTGTTATTCACAAAATCCAACTTATATTTCCTAAAAATATAACTGGTGCGCCGATACAATATCTTACTTTCGATCCGATAAATATGACATTTGGTATAGATAATTTTTTCAAGACACGAGTGTTGTAGTGCTTAACTTTTAAAAGATAACCTCGAACTCGCCAAACGCGGCACTGACAAATAGTTTTAATGAAATCAAACTTAATTAACTTCTTAGATTACATAGATATAACGTAATTATGTAATATCAAAAACTACAACCCTTTATGATGCAGTTCTTGTAAATAGATCACAAAATAATATTTTAATGTCTCGGCATTGATTTGTGAGGAAGACATTGCACTAAAATATTGGACTACAGGTTGGTACTATAATGGCTAATTACAAGTAGTTGATATACTATTGAGATGTGATTCTATAACGTTAAGATTAGCAGAATTAAATCCCTGAAAGGAAGTAAGATAAGTATTAGACACTGTTCATGCCGCCCTCAGTCGCACTATCTCTATATTAAAAATGAGTAAATGATCATGAGTTCATGACCTTTCTTGTTGATTGTTTTCTTGTTGTTGACATTAGAGGAGTATTAGTGTATAACCTTGATATATTTTTATTTACATATATTATGTTTGTACTATTTATTTATTATGGTTCATATTTTTTACCTATAAAATAGCAAATGGCGGCGTTAATGCCAAAAAGGCATTCTTTTATTCATGAATATGTATAGTAAAATCAAAACTAGGTACTATTTTGTGAGTTTACTTTCCACGATTTACGTTTAATTTATATTTTTGTTTAGGGAGTACACACTATTTCACTATACTTTTTCCCTTTTGTGGGCCTGCTGGTAGAAAAATGGTATGAAATAAACCTGCCCTCGTCTTTAATAATTGTTCATATAAAATTTTAGTACACAAAATGCTCAAATAAATAACAATAAATGGACATTAAATATCATATAAAATCAAATCGTTTCAGAGTACAAACCTCAAATTGTTAGGATGCATTTTCACCGTTTGCATGCTAAGAACAGCCGACACCGGCTTCGGCCATAGTCCACCGAATCGGCCACAGACAGTCCTGCAGAGGGCCAGGCTGTCGTAATACGATGAAGCATCCTCAACCAAACTCCTCGGCCGATCAGACCGCTGACAGCCATCAGTTCCCATGCACTTGTAGACCCATGAAGGCCTGTTGAAAAACATTTAATATATTTTATCAATTTCAATGCATCCACATAATCCACATAAATAAACTTACGACAAAGTTAATCGAACATTAGTGACAAAGTTATAAACTTTATTTTACAGGTAAAAACTTTTTTAAATGGACAGAGCTTATATCGTGCCGATATAGGGTGAAAAATGTTGTGTATTGCATACCTACTTATAATTTAAATGTCTACATAATATAATTAGATTATTGGTTGTCTTGAAAATTACTGTATCTATTTGTCTGTCTGTATGGTTGGTTGTCAAGCCTTATTTAAATAATTTTCAGAAGCAAAAATTGCAAGGATAAATAAATAATTTCAATAATTTATTGAGACATGAACATTTCAACTATACAGATAGAATATGCTCGATGGCGGAGTGGTTAATGCGTTCGGTCTACAATGCAGAAATTAAAAAGTTTCGCAAAAGCTGGTCAAAGGATGTGTAACTGGAAACTTATTAGTTCGAAAGACTGCTTTGGAAGACACGTTAAGCCAGACCTGTGCTCCAGCAATGACTACATTAAAATAGGCTGATTATGAAATGAAAATTATATAGAATAACTAGCTGACCCGACAGACTTCGTCCTGTCAAAAAGATTTGTAATGTGGCAGTTTTTTTGCCTACGTATTTAAAAAAATTCTCCTGAACAGAACCGTCACCCTGGTGATAGGGCGTTGTGAACTCCTCCAACTATGCATTCTGTGCTCCAACGCACACACGCACATTGTTTTGATAGATATGATCTTTGACGTTAGGAACACACCTACATTGCTTAGACAACAGTGAGTGCTTGTAATTAATATGAACTTTATACCATAGCAATAAAGCTCAAATTGACTACGTTTTAGTTACAAATCATTTGTATGGGAAAAAGAAAAGGGCTATTTTTAGGGTTTTCCCAGCAATAATTCTAATTTTTCTCGCCGTAAAAACCATCCTTGAACTTCAACGAACATTTTAAAAAAAGATTTGGCCAAATTGGTCGAGGCGTTGTTGAGTTATGCGCTTACCAACACATTTTGCGATTCATTTTTATATATAAGAAGATTATTACTCATGACGTGATAAAGATAGCAAAACTTAAGCATCGCCTGGCAGTGTCAATTGAAGAAAATATATTTAGTGGAAAAATCGCTCGTGCTACTGTTATTTTGTATTTAATTAATACCTTTAACTTTTGACTTACAATTACTGAAACATAATTAACTTTCAATAAGTCTATACTTTTCAATATTCATCATAATTACAAAGCCAGCTACAGCAATTTTAATAAATTTAATGACACGACATTCTTGTTTGTGGCGATTATTTTTTTTTCGGTTAGTAATTTTATATCGTGAAACAATAACCTCTGTGAAAGGATGCGCCTCATGATACGGACAGTGGTCTCTAAGAGAATATAACACTCATAATATCAGAAAACGTATATATTATGTCAATAAATATATAGAGATAAGAATTTTACAAATCTGCTGTACATACCCTTAGTAACAATATAATCAATAGACTGCCTTTTGTGCTTTGAGAATAAAACATACGAATAACTTGTAAGAAAAGGGTATTGAATACTTAGTTGTGCATTAGTTTTAATATAAACATGAGGATATAATTAAATTTATAAATTTAAATACGAAACATCAAAAAAGTTAACTTCGTAAATATACTCTAATAACAATACTAAACGATAATAAAAATATTGTATACTGTTAACATTTTTTTTTCTGTGTTGAATGATATAATTAGAACAACTTGTAACATGTGTGGAAAATGTCTTAAACGCTTGACGACCCACTTACGTCGCAACCATGATAATATTAGTGGAGATTGAAACATTCTTTAAAACTAAATTAGACTCTATATTTCATTACTGCACAGATTGACAAACCACTATCCGCCAGACCAGACCAAATCCTACTATTATTATAAATACGAAAGTTTGTAAGAGTATATCTATGTTCTATGTTTTTCTATCGTAAACGGATATTTCTAATAAGGTTGAATTACGGCTACCTTTAATCCCACTAAACGGTTTCAAAAATTTTGTGGGCTTCAGAAGACTCGTCAAGTCGTTGATCCAGGCTGTAACCGCAGTCTTTAACACTTACTAAACCAAAAAATTGGGCCATGACCCACCATGTGGGCCTTTTGAGTGCCGCAAGTTGGGTCATATATGACCCAAACTCCCTATTCAATTCGATTCCCTCCAAAGGGAAGGCCTATGTCTCAGCAGTAGGAAGATTAGTGGCTATTAATGATAATGAAGTATTTTAATTTCTTCAGTATCTGTAAGATTATGAGGGTAGCTAAAAATGTATTATTTGAAATAGGCTTTTCTTCGACTTCATAGAGGAATTATGAAAATAAATGTAAAAACACAATACTTTTTAGTAATTACTTAGCAATTAACTTACTCGTAAACTATTGGCGTTGTATCCTTAATTTCATTCTCGTTGCAGTACACCAAGTTGGCTGCTATTATCACAAGAAGAATCCACTGAGATGACATCATGATCTATAAATATAAAAATAAATCTTATAAAATACTTAAGCTTGTACCTAAAATATTAAAATGCCTACCGAATACCTGAAAAGCTTATTATTTTTAACAAGTGAACTACTATATTGTGATTTAACGAAAAGTATTTTATTTCCACGATTTCGCCCGTCTAAATTTTAGTCTGTCACCCGTATATAATGTAAGCTACTTGGGTGAAAGAATTTTAATAATCAGATCAGTATTCCCGAAAAATAACCCCTACAAACAAACAAATTTTACCTTTTAATAATATTTGTACAGGTATTCCTAGTTGCATATTGATTTGGCTCATCGTTAGGCCTGAAGGCTGGGCGTCAAAACGCGAGACGTAATAAACGGTCTCTTCAATGATATAGATAGGGACAACGAATTGCGTATTTTGAGTCAAACGGCCTGTACAAAATCTCAACTGATTATTCTCAATAATTTAAGAATTTTACTTTTCACAAGGCAAAAGATCTAGTTTTTATCAAACTACTATCAACTGATCATTAAAGGAACTAAAATCATATATGTAAACCTGTTTAAGTAACCTTTAAGTTCAATTTGAGCCATGCTAAACTTTAAATAATCAATTCAAAAACCTGGTAAAAAATATTTTTAGTTAATTATAGTCAAATCATTACGTAAGATTATTTTAAAATTGCTCCGTAAGGACGTTGAGTAAACAGTTTAATCACATATTTATCAAATTTCGATCTAGAGAAGAGCGTAGTTACGACTAAAATGTGGGAAAAATTATCAATCTTAGGGGTGACTGTGACTTTGCTAATAAAGATTTTTTTACTGAACATTTGACTGAATCAAATCTCATAATAATATGAATAGTTATCGTTTGTATTTAAATGTAATCCATACGAAGAGATCAATATGGCTAGCATCCCAATAGCAAGAATGTAATAAAATAATTATTTTTTTCCTAAGTTTTAACAATAATAATTAGGAACATTTCAAACAGATCAAAGTTTTCACGAATGTTATCACGTTTAATGTCTAAGGCTATCACACAAATTTCTCACTATATTACTATGGGATTAGGAAATCTATCTCGTAAACAAATACCCTCAAATACCTGTAGTCTTCAGAGTTAATAAGTTAAATCGATTTCAAAATTTTTAATACAATTCCACTCTGTAATTTACGTCTATTACACGAGAAAAATATTTTACTTTATTTATAAAATGATAAAAATATCGTATGCTTTCATTATATTCAAAAAATTTATCTATAAATTAACAATAACCTGTAAACAAAAATTATGCTATGAAAAAATCTCTATGACAAAATATAATGATAAGTGTCAAACAGTATTCAAATTTGCTGCCTTTTACTGCGAAAAAAGATCCAATAATTATCTTTGGCCCTTTTTACGAAAATACACAGACAAAGGAGTATGATTGTCACAGTTAAAATTTATTTATATGGAGAAGTGCAGAATATTCTCTTATTAAAATTTTCAATTAACTAAAAAAAGAAATCACTTAAACATAATACAAATTACCATGTGTTTGATATCTGTTTAGAGAATGTGAAACAATAACAAGAAAGAAAGATACAGTCTTTATATAGAAACAATGGTCTGCGATAATAAATATTGGTGTCTCAAGAAATTAATACACACATCAACATCGTCTGGGGATATTTTGTATTAAGTTCTGAATTCAAAAAATACTGGCCAGTTTTAAAATCTTTTGATGAAAACTTATTTTGTACACCCTTTTTTGATGATTTCAAATCTTAATAAAAAAAATTCAAACGAAAGATTTGCGCGGCATAATACGAACGAAAAATTCAAACGATTCCTGATTCGCGAAGAGTACGTGTATGGCGAACTCCTGATCGTAAGAGCCGCCTGCAACACCCGCAGGAAGTACATCCATACCATGGCGGGACGATTATGGTTTGGGCGGAAATTCGTGTTGGTGGAAGAACAAACCTAGTTTGGATCAGAAACACCATGACTGCTGAAAAATACCTCAACCAAGAGTACCAATAGTCTACCCACATCGACTACAATTGGGTGAAGAATTCACGCTCATGCACGACAATACTCGTTCGCACACAGCGCGAGTGGTCACCAGCTGGCTTCAGGAGCACGATGTATCGGTCTTAGACTGGCCCGCGCAATCACCAGACCTAAACCCCATAGAACACGCGTGGGACATGCTCCAAAGAAGGGCTTGGAGGTATTTACCGACAAACATTGTCACTGAAGAGCAACTATTTTTGCATCTTTCCAGGACCTGGGACAATATCCCGCAGCAAGACTTTGATAAATTGATTCGAAGCATGAGAAATCGTTGCAGGACATTTGTTAACGTCATGGGTGATTTTACTGACTATTGTTTTTCGCAAAATTGCAAATAACGGAATAATTTCGCTATATTTTTCACTTTTTCTTGTAAAAAACATTTATCGTTAGTTTTACCATTGTTCTACTTTTCGTCTTTACTTAAATATTTTTTTTAGGTAAAAAAAAATATTTATCTTTTATTCTATAATTTACGCTAATAAATGGGCTTTATAAAAATATAAACATGTTGTATGTTATTCAGAAAAAAAACTGAGAAAATTATGAATAATTAAAATATCCCTAGACGATGTTGATGTGTGTGAGTGTATCTATGTTTATGTATCTGAATGATGTCTGTTATTAAAAAATTTAATTTGATTTTAATTAACTTTGTTAATATTCGGAGATAATTGGAATAAAAAAAATAAACCAGCTCAGCCTAAGATCACAGACATATCAGCCTAACCTAAAAGTGTTTAGAAAAAGTGAAAAACATCAACTATATCCATCTCGTGGTAGGGATAAAGTGGACTTTTAACACATTTTTCATTAAGTGAAAAACAATTCAAGAAACATCTATTGACTCCCATAGAAGTTTCTTGAATTATAATATCTTATTTTTCACTTTTATTAATAAACAATTTTGACGTGGGTTTAAGTTCTTATATTCCTTACTTGTTCGTTTTTAAAAGTCTAATAAACTTTAAAAGTTTGTATCTATCAAACTACTGAAGGGATTTTCATTAAACTTATGCTGTTCTCTAAGTTGTTAACGAATTAATAAAACAAAAATCATTACGAACCGATGCCTAATTTGTGGGAAATACGTGACATATGTATGTATGTAGATAAATAAATGCATATATACATTTCCAAAATATAGTACATGTACTTAAACTCATATAGACTAACATGTTGAATGTTGCGCTATTCCAGCATAAACCTAGATAAAGATAAAAAATAAGTTCAAAATCTAAACCAATCTACAACTAAATATCGCTCTAAAAAGATTATAACAAGAAATTTAATGTAACGTCACGTATCACGCGGGCAACTAAGTCACTTCTAATGATACCTCCTCATTTTTCCAGTAACGATAAGTAGTTTCGAAGCTATAAGAGAACAGGATGAACATTCTTACATGCATACATACCGGCCAAAATCATAACCCTCATTTTCACTTCGCTGCCATAGTAGCGTAAAAAAGATAATCTTCTTTTTATTGTCGGTTAAGGAAGAAGATAACGAAAAAATTACCAAATTACATACCTACTCAAACAAAGTGTTTTTATTTGAACTCTAACAGGAAATCACTACTATTTTATAATCTCACAGTATTGTTTTTAATAATTGATAACGAAGTAGGTTCACAGAATGTATGAAATAATTACAGCTCGCATTGTATTACATTATTTCTGACTATCACCTAGGCAATTTAGAGAATTGCGAATTAGATATTTTGAGAAATATTATAACTTATTGATTTTATATAATGTGAAATAAAGGAACACATAGCTTTAATAAATGTTACAAGTGCGTTTAAATTATTTTTGTAGCACATTTAATATATTTTTCAATTGATACTCTTATGAAATTCACCATTCTAACACAGACAGATATTATGATTAAAATATACGAAGAGGAGAATGTGTGTTAAAAATAAGAATATTGATTGGTAAACATGAACATAATACTTGACAATTACAAAATTTGACTCCAGATTTCATCAAATCAATTTATTTTTCTTCTAATTATTTTTCACCTGCCTTTATATTGTAAACCATTATGTATACCTACACTTATGAGTTCGTTTTAAAATCATAATCATTATATTAAAGGTTGACAATATAAATAAATTGGTAATAGAAGGTGTATTTGTTAATTTGTTGCTACTTTCAAATATTAAATAAATAAATAAAAATGTTTTTAACCGGTTCTCAATTCGATTGTATTTTTTTTTCTGTTCGATACCTCCCAAATTTTTACTGGGTGGACCAATTATGATGATTCTTTCTTTATTTGAAAGCTTGCTTGTCGTGTAGTCCCATTAATGCAGCTCTGGTAATAGCATCTATGAGAAAACCATGTAAGTCTTTAATTTTCATTAAATACACATGAAATAAAAACTTTAAAAAAAGTTAAACCTATTTCAAATTTAGAAAAAAAGTAAAAAATAATATCTTAATCTTAACTTACCTTATATGCGATTATTTATTTTTTTAAGAAACATTGAAGTGGATCGGTCAATATTTATCTACAGAAAACCTCAGCGCGACTTCAATGTTTCTTTAAAAATTTAACAGCATTTAAGAGACGTATTATTTTTCACTTTGTTAAATTTGACGTCGGTTCCATTTTTGTTTTTCATTGTTGAATCGATGTCATTGAATTAATGCAAGTCAGAGTCAAGGAAGATGACTCGTTGATTTTCTAGTAAATGTTAATTGTCATAAATTTGTTGTTAATCCTGAAGGTAGGTATAGGAAGGTACTGTGAACAGTAAATGATTTCTTCAAACAACTATTTTTTATTACCACCCGCTTTAAGGTTCAGTGCAAATCTCGTCTATCGTCTCATGGCAGTATGCGTTAGAATGCAACCAAGAAAGCCAAGGTCCATCTCCATCGAGTATGCAACATTCTTTGATAAGTGAAGCAACATTCAATAACATTTTGTCGGTTCTGACATATATACTTTTACTCTTTGGTTCTGACGTTCTGCGACCGATAAGATGCGACGCATATTTTGTCTCGCAGACATGGACCAACTCCAATAGACAAGAGCTGTATTA